ACAGACAGATAGATAGACAGATAGATAGACACACAGACAGACAGACAGACAGATAGACAGACAGACAGACAGATAGACACACAGCCAGACAGACAGACAGACAGACAGACAGATAGATAGATAGATAGATAGATAGACAGACAGACAGACAGACAGACAGACAGACAGACAGACAGACAGATAGATAGATAGATAGATAGATAGATAGACAGACAGACAGACAGACAGACAGACAGACAGACAGACAGACAGACAGACAGACAGACAGATAGATAGATAGATAGATAGATAGATAGATAGATAGATAGATAGATAGATAGATAGATAGGACAGACAGACAGACAGACAGACAGACAGATAGACACACAGACAGATAGATAGATAGACAGATAGATAGACACACAGACAGACAGACAGACAGATAGACAGACAGACAGACAGACAGACAGATAGACACAGACAGACAGACAGATAGATAGATAGATAGATAGATAGATAGATAGATAGATAGATAGATAGATAGATAGATAGATAGACAGACAGACAGACAGACAGACAGACAGACAGGTAGACAGACAGGTAGATAGATAGATAGATAGATAGATAGATAGATAGATAGATAGATAGATAGATAGATAGACAGACAGACAGACAGACAGACAGACAGACAGACAGACAGACAGACAGACAGGTAGACAGACAGGTAGATAGATAGATAGATAGATAGATAGATAGATAGATAGATAGATAGATAGACAGATAGATAGACACACAGACAGACAGATAGACACACAGCCAGACAGACAGACAGACAGATAGATAGATAGATAGATAGATAGACAGACAGACAGACAGACAGACAGATAGATAGATAGATAGATAGATAGATAGATAGATAGATAGATAGATAGATAGATAGATAGATAGATAGATAGATAGATAGATAGACACACAGACAGACAGATAGACACACAGACAGACAGACAGACAGACAGATAGATAGATAGATAGATAGACAGACAGACAGACAGACAGACAGATAGATAGATAGATAGATAGATAGATAGATAGATAGATAGATAGATAGATAGATAGATAGATAGATAGACAGACAGACAGACAGACAGACAGACAGACAGGTAGACAGACAGGTAGATAGATAGATAGATAGATAGATAGATAGATAGATAGATAGATAGATAGACAGACAGACAGACAGACAGACAGACAGACAGACAGACAGACAGACAGACAGGTAGACAGGTAGATAGATAGATAGATAGATAGATAGATAGATAGATAGATAGATAGATAGATAGATAGATAGATAGACAGATAGATAGACACACAGACAGACAGATAGACACACAGCCAGACAGACAGACAGACAGATAGATAGATAGATAGATAGACAGACAGACAGACAGACAGACAGATAGATAGATAGATAGATAGATAGATAGATAGATAGATAGATAGATAGATAGATAGATAGATAGATAGATAGATAGATAGATAGATAGATAGATAGATAGATAGATAGATAGACACACAGATAGACAGATAGACACACAGACAGACAGACAGACAGACAGATAGATAGATAGATAGACAGACAGACAGACAGACAGACAGATAGATAGATAGATAGATAGATAGATAGATAGATAGATAGATAGATAGATAGATAGATAGATAGATAGATAGATAGATAGATAGATAGATAGATAGATAGATAGATAGATAGATAGATAGATAGATTCACGCCATCTGAATCACGCCATATGCAGAGCGCTAAACCCATATGTTGTAAATAATAGTAAGGAGCTCCAGCAAGCAATATTGCACTAGTTAATCTCACTCTGCTGTCTACACACAGAAGGCATCGTCTCTCTGTTGCTATAGTAACAGTGACCAACCACGGACACACAAACCAGTATTAAACTGTGATATTCATCCACTTTGCTTCAAATGTGAGTGGTCTATGGTAGATGCTGTGTAAAAGGGATGAGTTATTTAAAGCCCATCTAACATGGTCCTTTGAAGATGCTTTTATCCTCCACTTCATAGTATTTTAAAGTGGATCCAATCTTCATACGAAAAGCACAGATATCAAAGGTGTAGCATTTACATTGGCTCAGCGTGTAAGTCCATTTTCTCGGAAAGACAAATGTATCTATCATCCAAGCTGCTCTGCTTTAAGCTCTGACTGTTAAACACCCACTTAGCTTCTCTATTCATGCCTTCCTCGCGTATGAGTCAGAGAATGGGATTCAGTATAGTTGTTTGTTGGCACAAACACATCGAAAAACACATTTCTAAGGCACATTGTTATAGTTTCACAAACTGGTGTTTCATGAAATCATGGATGGTAATGACATATTACTGTTATTATGAGAAATCAATTGACTAGAAAAAGCGGATATGAATTGTTGAGCAACTGTAGATATTTACGTTCTTTGCTCTTATGTGAAACAAATACTGTGACTATCAAAGTTCCCATCTAAGCAGTGATAGGATTACTCTGGAAAAGCTAGGAAAAAGTACAGCTTGTATTTCTGAAGTACTTTATTTGGGGGATGGGGGAGGGAGCGGAGGTGTGTTTCTTCCTTGCAAATGGAAGTTTTACAGTAAGACGAGAACATGACATATGACGTGGAAAATTCAGAACAACAACAAGAGCACAAATCAGGAGAAGCAGTTCTGAGAAATATAAAGGCCTGAAACCTTGAACTATGATTTTATTCTAAATGGTATTACTGTATACGTGGATATATATTCATATTTAGAAAATAACATGGTGAAAGCTTTTCATAAAGTATTTTTTTTCAGACTAATGGAAAGAAAACATCCAAAATACACTCATAGGTGTATCTTATATATCACTTTATCTATTTGTGTCTGTAGATTTCAATTGCAGTATCTTTAAAGGCCTTTATCTTTATTTATTTTTTGAGTCAGAAATCTCCACTTCAGCAGCACTAACATTCACCAACTTTACAGTTTTATTCCTATCTATATTCTCAAGGTTTTTTACAGAGGGGTTTGTTCATATAAAATTTGCCTGATTATATACAACATTTTATACCTAAGAAAATGTTTTTTTTTTTTTTAAGTATTGAAAGTATTTTCTGATTTATGGAGTGATAAAAATACACCAAAATCCCCTCTGTAAAAACCTGACTCTTGTGTAAAAAACCTAGCTTTATCTAATGTTCAGATTTTTTTTCTTCTAGAAATGTATGCAAATTTGTGCATTTTTAATTAGATTATGCCTCATTTGCATATTTAAACATAACATTTCAGAAATCTTGTAATACAATTTTTGTTTGCAATTCTTAATGAAATCAATCAACTAGGGAAGAATGGTACGGAAGCGAATTGCATTCACTTGAGGAAAAAAAAATTATTTTTCATGGAAAAAACTTTTTTGCTGTTTTTCTGAATTAACGAGTTAATTATCTCAGAATTAATAGATAATTTTTCATGGAAAAAAGTTTTTGCTCTGTTTTTCTGAATTAACGACGAGTTAATATCTCAGAATTATGAGATACATTTTTTTTCACTCTGTTTTTATGAATTAATGAGTTACTCATAATTTTGAGATAATTAACTCGTTAATTCAGAAAAACAGAGCAAAAACTTTTTTTCCATGAAAAATTATCTCGTAATTCTGAAATAATTAACTCGTTAATTCAGAAAAACAGAGTGGATTTTTTTCCTCAAGTGAATGCAATATGCTTCCGTAGAATGGTGATATTTTTTTTATTTTTTATTTTTTTACCCTATTCACCTGAGGTGTCGCATTAATAATCAGAAGAAACTTTTCCAATGTAAAGAACCTTTTGTGTAATGAAAAGGTTCAATGAATGTTAAAGGTTTCTTTACGGAACCATAGATGCCAAGAAAGAACCTTTATTTTTAAGAGTGTATTCTTACACTCTTAAATATATATATATATATATTTAAGAGTATATATTATATATTTAATATATATTTATATATTATCTTAAATATATATATATATATATATTTAAGAATCTTTCCATTGCAGAAGGTTTTTCATGGTGGTGTGTAAAAAAGAAAAAAAAAAAAAAGTTGCCAAGAAAATCTTTCTATGGCATCGCTGCAAAAAAAAATCCTTTATTTTTAAAAGTGCAAGATCACGCGCTAAAACAATGTGAAATCATCCTAATAATTGTACTGCCATTTTGAGCACAAACATCATAATGAGGCCACAGCAGGACAGACGTACAAATGTGTGCTTAAACCCAGAAGCCGAACGGCTGTAATCATGCCATTATCTCAATATAAACACAAGGCGAGCAACCAAAACAAATGAGCTTTGAGTGCTTTCCTATTCATCTGCTCCTCACAGACTATTAGGATAAGCCCTCAGGAGCCCGATAAACCCGTCTACCATTTTGCTTTCAATAGTAGTGAGACAGTCGCCACATGTCTGCCTGTACATACGCCCTCATTTATAGTAATATATTAGTGCGCCGGCGAGTGAGTGTGTGCATATATAGGTGCGTGTGTGTGTCTCCCATCACAGTAGTGTGGACATGTAGATGCCTGTTTTCAAATGCTCCACAGGCCTGATATTGTTGAGATAATCTGCTGAAAACCGATCCTCTCCACACTACCGCCTGCAGAGGAACGTGTGGGCACATCAGCCCCCAACATCAGGAGTCTTGTCTGTCGCTACAGCAACAGCTAAAAAGCCTTGCATTACCGCTACGGCATTCGCCAGAGTTTCTGCCAGAATGCCTTTCTGATAGACTGTAAACACGCCGGGGAAAAGTGCACAGTCTCCTCTCTCTCAGTGTGCAGAAGAATGTTTACATGCATGGACAACAAGACTTGTCATGCGTCCGTGAAACTTAAAATACCCAAAAGAGGATGAGGGTTTGAACAAAAGCGAAAAGGAATAACGTGTACATCTTTGAATCCCTCAAGCGTGATGTGTTGTTCTTTGAGCTGTGTGAGATTACGGGGGAGCCTGTCTCTTTAAGAGGCTTGTTGAGTGGGGAGGTGGAACCTTGTCTGCTTCTAAACAAGCATTTCTATCAACAAAACGTGTCTCACTAGCGGGCAGATCTCGTAGGGTGTGCATGTACACAAGTCGTGGCTGATTTTCTTTTACATGACTTCCTCAAGGTGTACGTGTGATATGTGAGTCCCGTTTCATCAGCACCTGAGGTTTGCAATACTCGGCTGGAGGGCCACCAACAGCTCAGGTGTGTGACGGCTATTTGCCAGTAAGTGTGTTTCTCTCTTCTTCTTTTTTTTTTGCATTAAATAGAGTTGACTTGTTATGCAGCATTTAAAATGAAAGATCTGGGTTATGCAGTAGCTTTTGAACTTTTTTAAAATGAATATCCCTGTGTTGTAATTTAAGGAGGTATTTCTCAGGCTCTTAAAGTTGTGAATTATAACCGGACTGTTTACACAAGGGCAAGAGAGTGTTTGTGTTCACACACTTCACGAGATGGAAACGGTGTAGCAATAGGCTGTTATTGCAATAGGCTGTTATTCTCAGGCTGATGCTGGTTAAAGGAAGGAACCACGTGCCTATTAAGTTTCCATTGCAGCTTCCTAGTAAATAATGAGTTTTAAAGTACATTTGCTCAGATTACTTAATAAAGAGAGAGATTTTTGTGTGTATTTTGTATGTAAGTGTATTTTGTCCTCCAGGGTATATCCAAGTAAACTGGACAAAAAAAAGTCTGCCACTAATAACTTTTTTGCAAAGTTTATAGGCACAAAATCTAGAAGGGCATATACACCTCTCTAAAATGTGCTTTATTAATGAGACCCTCACATTTCTAAGTAGCGTTCACTCTTTAAAATAACGGTTCCGAAGGGTTGTTTTCGCAGCGATGCCATAGAAAAAACATTTTTGAGCAGTTCTTATAGAGTAATGAACATTTTAATAAGCCAAAGAAGCCTTTTCCACAAAAACAACCTTTTGTGTAATGCAGTTTCCATGGATGTTAAAGTTTCTTCATTGGACCACAGATGGCACATAGAAAGAACCTTTATTTCTAATAGCGTTGCCATAGTTTCACTCCAGGAAAATGTGTGTGTGTTCCTAGGAGGAAAAGACCTGTCGGATACACACAACCTGATTTCACCGAGTGCAACATGTTTCTGGATCAACATCTTTGTTGATCCTGGAACAACATTCCAATCAGCCAATCAGATTTAAGAGGCGAGATTACAGTTCATGTCAAGTTTAGTCTTATAACCAGGGTTTGGTGCTTCTACATCAGTGTTATTCACCTGTCATTTCCCTCTGACTTTAGGGATAAGTTATGGGTAGGGATAGGGTTAGGACTACATTTTCAGACCAGAATGTTGCTCCAGGATCAACAAAATATGTTGACGGAACACGTCTAACTTTGCAAAATCAATAGTTGACTAAATTATGACTTGATGAGCGGTTAAATTCACACCTGTGAGCGCACATTCTATATTAAACTCATTTATTATGTTGCTTGCTTGCTTGGCAACAGTAAACAGCCTATGGTTGAAGTACTTGGAAGAAGAATTGTTCATTGTGATTATTGTCGATAATAAATTTAAAGGAATAGTTGACTCAAAATAAATGTCTGCAATTATTTACTTAGCCCACGTCATGCCAAACGTGAATGCCGTTATTATTTCCATCAAACACCGAAGGAGAAATTCTGAAGAATTATTTATTTAATAAACAAACATTTATTGTAACCATCTCTGACAACAGACCAAAATGTAGACCGGATCAGAGTGACCCTCCCTGCAGGTCTCAAGTCTCATTCTCCATATATTCCCAATAGCATGCCGTTTACTTAAAATTTGATGTTGTGTTAGGTTACAACACACATGAGAAATATTAGGAGCAACGATGTCAAATCTGGCCGGTTTTGTAGTCTAAAATGTAAAAGCTTTGTTGGGGTGGAAGTGAATAATGAGTTAAATGTCGGTCTGTTCCTTAAACAAATCTGCCATTTGACCTCAGAAGACTTGGAATATTACATACAAGTTGTATGGACTACTTTTTTGATACTTGTATTGTTTATTATTGTTGTTATTGGAATCTTTGGAGCGTGAAAAAGTGCCACTAAAAGATTCTTCAAAAAAAAAATTTCATGTAAGAAAGAAAGTCATGAGGGTCTGAGAGTAAATAGTGGCAGATTTATTTTTTTCCATTTTAAAAGCAGTTTTGCATTGTGCACCATGTTAGAGAACATCACGTACTTACTTACTTTAATCACGGTGACTCAAGGCCACACGTGGCTTATTGCTAATTAACATCAATCAGAGAGAGAAAACACCTTCTTATCAGAGGAACACACTGCTCACACCTCGGTGGTTGTCAGATGCCTTTGTTTATTTAGTAGATGTTATTTTAGTAGATGTTCCTGTTAATAACAAATGCTGTCGAAATGTTAATAAGAGCTTTGTCATAAAAAGCATATCCAATATTCCTCAAAATTGAATATTATGCAAACATGCAATCATTAAATATGCTTAATAATACAAATGCACTTTATGCATTTAACCTCACTTTATTTACAAGTGTCATTGCTGTTAACTTCAAACACCTGCAAATCACATCCTTGTATAATTTTAATAGCTGAAATTCAAATGTTGAACATGTTTCTCCAAATAAGTTCTTATTATGAGGAGATAATAATTCGTCTTGCTTCTTCACATCACGTCCAGTGTGAAAGGGCCTTCAGTTGTAGGCTACATCTAAATCTATATCATTTATAATTAATTGCTGTGGATGATTCATTACATTTTGATAATTTGTGAGAGATGGACCTTAAAATTGATGAAAATATCCAGCTAGGATAATGGGCAATGTGTCAAATGGCACAAAGGCTTCTGACTGTATTTTTCACATGTGATGTGACACATATTAATTAAACACGGCTGGAAATAGCACCTTCCACCTTCACAGAGAGAGCTGCTCGGGAAATGAAGTCATGTTCAGATACAGCTTGCTTTCACTGCCAGGTGTCTGCACATGAGGCCGGCCAGAAACATAAGCGATAATTGACTGGAATCCCCAGCATCAAGGACTATAGATGGAGGCTTCCTATTGTGACATGTTGGAGAGCCTCCTATCACGGACATGCACCTGTTCTCAGCTTTCACATTCAAAGCATTTCACAAACTCATTCCCATTGGTGGTTGTGAGAGCGCTCCATTAATCTACAACGGGAAACAACAATAGCGGTGCAGAGAGACGTCTGAAGCCGCCAGTTGCAGATCTACAGATGGAGAAGAATCCAGCCACGGGCTCTTGGCTTTCTGAGAGCACTTACACTTAAAGGGTTAGTTCACCCAAAAAGGAAAATTATGTCATTAATGACTCGCCCTCATGTCGTCCCAAGCCCGTAAGACCTCCGTTCATCTTCAGAACACAGTTTAAGATATTTTAGATTTAGTCCGAGAGCTTTCTGTCCCTCCAT